TTATTTAACAATTATTCGCCGAAGGCGAAGTTAATATTGTTGAATAATCCCCGAGACGAAGTCGAGGGGATTATTCAACAATATTAACTGAGCCTCAGGTGAATAATTGTTTTAGTATATTCACACGAAGTGATCTCAACAGAATCACAAAGGAAACCATTAAAAAACGATTAGTTTGATTGACGGGTGAAAATTCATGCGTGAACACGAAGCCGTAAACAGTGGATGCGCAAAAGTTAGATCTTTACAGTATCTTCAAACATGGCAAATGATAGTTTTAAACCTTTTGTATCGAGTTTTGTAAGCTTTAGCATCAACGGTTTAAAAGAAAACGCCGAAAATTTAAATTACTACCCAATTCTCAGAAGAGAAGTATCTAGAGCTTTATTTGTTTCTGTCAACTCACCGTGAATGAGAAAGTTTTCTTCGTCGCTTCTTGCAAATGCTGTCAACAGCGGCTGCGATCAAGGTGAGCGTTGTTTATCTCCAAAGTTCTTTGCCTTGTTAACTTGCTGGCATGTACAATTTTCGAAAATATGTGCCTTCCTCTCTTCTCCATAAATTAACTTCTATTTATAGGCAAAATTGGTCTTGCGAGAAAATCCCGAAATCACAAAACAGTGACAAAGCGACCTCGTTTTCCTCTGTAGTGGTAAACATAGCTTCGAGCGTACAAAAAGTCAGCTAAAGTAAACCACTTCACAATAAATCACGCTGTTTAAACACCATGAAGTCTTTTCTTGCCTTCAAAGTCATCAGCACTTGGATATTCGTGTATTTTCAAAAAGGTTTTACTTTGAAACTTTGGCAAAACACCCAGTTCATGACAGCGATTTTGTTCGGCTTTATATTCACCACCTAGCGCGGTGAATATAACGTCATAGTCCGCGATAGCTAACCAATCAGATTGCTTGAATTACCAAGATCACTGAGTGTGTATATACTAAAAAAATTTATACAGATTAAGTCAATATTCACTAAAACTCTTGGGCTAAACTTTTCCACTTAAAATAACCGTCAACCGTCAAAATCGGCGAAAATTAACGGTCAACCGTCAAAGCTACCATTCCATTGAGACCATCTAGTAAGGGTCTAAATGAATCAGTTACAAAAGTACTCTATTCTTTTGGGTCACATTTCTGCGGTTTTTTTTTTTTCTTTTTTTTTTTTTACTAGATTACGCGAGAACAATAAAACTGTTGCTGAAAGAGGTCCCGCTGGAAATTTTCTACGAGGTAAGCAATAGATTTACTTCTATTCACATCGGCCAGGGAACCGAAAAGAAAAGCACTTGACTGTGCTTTTCATACATTTGATTTGACTTAATCTGTTGATGACATTTGATGACATATAACGATTCCACAGCAGTCATCTTTAGATTGCACACCAGTTAACAACACCGGTCGCTCAGCCCTGGCCGTCCTGTCAGCCCTTAAATGACATGTGGGCAGTTTTATTTCTGTCAAGTCGTTTCCAAGTATAGAATCACAGTCACAATGTTTTATTATAAAACCTAGACCGGCCCAAATTTTCTAGGAAGGTTTGACAGTTATTTCAGTACTGATAGTTCTCGTGACGCGAACGAGGCTTGAAGAGAACTAACAGGTCGTAAAAAGAGGGTTAATAGGCTCCCGCTGTACGATATTACTGTATTTAAAAACAATTTTAAAAGCGCCGCACCCCTTTACAATACTGCGGCGATTATTAATTTTTGTTTCCTTTTTTTATTATTTTTTGAATCTCGTACGAGATTTTAAACCTTTCAGCTTAACTTTTGCTGTACATTGTTGCCATCGTTTTTTCAAAAAATAAGTTATTCAAGGAAGAAAGGTGAAAGTCTGTTGCAGTCGCAATTGAGAAGTTTTAAATAAGCGCCTCTCAAAAAAGAAGATTCCCCTTTCACATTAATGCCGTCAAGTAAAATACTAGAATAAGAACCGCATTGTTTTTTCGAGCAAACATGCAGCTAAAGATCAATGCAATAACTAAGCTCCGATTTTCAGGTCGAGATGGCAGAGATGGAATACCAGGACCTCCTGGGCCAGCTGGGAAACCAGGCCCTGCGGGTTAGTTGATTTTTCTCATTGTTAATCTGTGGTATTAGTCTTGTGTAAGGTTTGATTAAGGGGGAGAGGAGAAGGCCTTAGAGCTATTGGACGTCGCACCTTTGACTTCACAGCGGAAAAGCTCTCTATCAAGTGCCAATATCTTCCAACTTCTGTTAATTACATGTCGAAAACATCCCGTATGTCCCTTTCCCATTGCCTTCTTTGTCTTCCTCTTTCTCTTGTCGCATCTATCTTTCCTTCCAAGCCCTCACGTCTTTTCAAATGGCCAAAATACTTCAGCTTTTGTTTCTTTATAAAGATGTCTAACCATTGATCTTCCGCTTTGAGATCCTCCCTAATTCACTTATTTGTTCTGTACTCCGTCCATAATATTTTTTTTAATTTTCTATAGCACTTCATTTAACGAACGTAAAATAACTTTTTTTGGAAGATATTTTAATTTAGATATGATAGAGGACTAATAAACGTCTGGTTTTATTTCCCGTCAGGAAGGGATGGAAGAGATGGACGACAGGGTCCCCCTGGACCTCAAGGACTTGCTGGACCAAGAGGTGATAAGCATCTTTAAAATTTTTGCCATTAGCATTTTATTATAAACATAATCCAAGGTGCTTTCAGCATTGCTTATCATAGCCACAGGAAGCATGCATGTCACGTTAAACCTATCAAGTAAATGGCCTAACTCGCCGTTAGTCTCTTTAACTACGTCACTAGAACATTCGACAGAATTCAGCTGGCTTTTAGAACTTCTCTTTTCCCAGTTTCTCGTCATGAAATGTTGAACAATTCATTTTTTGTATTTACCATAGGAAAAACTGGTAAAAAAGGAAATGATGGCGCTCAGGGTCCCCCCGGACAAACAGGAGAGAAGGGAGACAAAGGAAACGGAGTGTCTGGTGTAAACTACGTCCGCTGGGGCCGAACCGAATGCCCTGGAAATGCAACATTAGTGTACAGTGGTAAGAAAGAAATTATTTGACTTTCTGTATTGAAATTTTACTTATTACGATTAATTGCAACTGGAATTTATGTGCCTCAGAATAGACAAGGATGAACATAATAACTTCGCTTGTCAACAATAGATGCAGGGGTCTGATATTGTTGTGGAAAAGCTGATTTTGATTTAATTGTTTAATTACATAGATAGGTTGATTCTAATTACATAATATTTGCCAGAAAGGAGTGCAATTTTAACTGCTTTAACGCTGTAATATATCCTTTTGTTCCATGATTATTTAAATCGTATAATGGTAACGAATTTTCTCGTAGTCAACAGAGGAGTAAGGAAGTCAGGACGTGCCTGACGAAATATTGCAAATGAAATATACATGCATTCTCATGCAGGCCGCGTTGCCCTTTTGTATGCTCTATACTATTTTCCTCTTCCAAAGTGTAATAATAGGTACGCACTGCCCACCGATTGCTGGGGTAAGCCTTCTTATCAATAAACATTAGTTAGAATAGTGATTCTCCTACGTTATTTCGCCATGTAAGGTAATTTGGATTCCGGATCGCGCGCGTGAAATCCGGCAAATCTTTGTCGGTGAAATCTGGAATCCGGCAAATTTCACTGGTAAAATCCAGAATCTAGGGAATTCAGCTCCAGGAATCCGAGCTCCCGCTTACGATTGGAAATCGAAATCCAGTTTCCACTGACAAGAAATCCGGAATCCAGTAGAGTGGAACCTCGATATAATGAAGGGCCAAGGGACTGGCAAAACAGGTTCACTGAAACGAGGTTTCGTTATATCGAGGTTTTCTTCCATATATTTTACTATTAATGGGGTTAAAAAAAATTGTTCGTTATAAAGAGTACTTCCTTATATGGAGGTTCGTTATATTGAGGTTCCACTGTACCTGGAATCCAGTAATCACTGCATGGAATCCAGAATCCAAGAAGTCTTGGATTACGTATATCGTGGGGAGAGTTTTTGCTGTAGCCATTAGGATAGGTGACACAAATTCAGATGGAAGTATCGCTTCTGAAAATGCAAGTACAAATTTATCTAACTCATTTTTTAGGGATGATGGGAGGCGAAAACCACAATCACCAAGGTGGTGGAGCGAATTACCTTTGCCTTCCACCCAAACCAAAGTACGACAAGTACAACGACGGCAATCAAAACTCAGGATATGTGTATGGCACTGAATATGAGATTAATGATTACAGTGGGTCTGTTTTGAAGAGCAATCTTCATGATCACGAGGCGCCTTGTGCTGTCTGCTTTGTCAAGTCACGTGGCTCAATGCTGATGATCCCTGCACAGAATGACTGTCCATATGGATGGACCGAGGAGTATCATGGGTACCTGATGACTGCATATTACGATCATGCGAACCAAAAGGATTACGTCTGTGTCGACAAAGACCCAGAGTATGTTCTAGGGAGCATGGAAAGCAAGGATGGTGCTTTGCTGTACCACGTGGAAGGACAATGTGGCTCTCTTCCGTGTCTTCCATATGTTAATCATCGAGAGCTGACATGCGCTGTTTGCACCAAGTGAGAATAAGCTTTTCAGGAAGCCAGAAACATTCAAAGAAACTCTAGAGACTAATATTTCTTAGTTGTAGAGTTCAGTTAAGACAACATAGTTCATAAAGGGCATTTTAGTTCAATAACAACTGCATGAGTTCAGAAAATGTCACACACATCAATGTATCTTTATTTGGATCCCTTAAGTGTCAAGGTAGGGGAAGGGGATCTTCACGGGTATAAGTATAAACTTTTGTTATTAATAATAATAATAATAATTTTTTTCTGTTCTTCACTTTACCGGGGGCTTGATTGTATTGCTCCAACATCCTGCTGGTGTAGTTTTGTGGCAATTGGTATATATCAGTAGGTGTAGCTCAGCAAAGCTTCCATTGTTGCAAGACTATATGGTGGTTTATTATAGTAGTTAAGCATCAAACTAATGTCATGTGAGAAAT